TTCGAACAGCGCGCCGATCAGTTTAGAGCCCCCTCGATCCTCCAATAATCTTGACCCTTTTATTTGTGCAGCCTAGCCATGAGACTTGTTCCACATTACTTGTTCTCACCACCAGTCCTGATTTGCAATATCGGTTTACGATAAATGTGTAATGTCTCAAGCCAAGACTTCGGCTTCCCGACGGGAGAAGAGCCAAGACAGGTGGCTTTCAATGCAGCTTTGACATTCGGTGAAGATAAGAGACTGCCCTGGTGATCTATACCTTCCAGGTATATGAATGCCAAGGTAATGGCGACATCTTGCCCCGTTTATATGGCCAAGAAGTCGGTACCAAACGGAGCGTCCAGTGAAGTTTGGCAAATTGCCAAGCAAGTGTGCTCTGTGTGATGGCTACTACGGTCCACACTTCGATAGCGAGGAGCGCTGAGAGCAACGAGAGGAAATCAAATCGTCATGTGTCCGCATTGACTCTGCGAAGCGAGCCGAGAGGCATCTATATAAAGCCACCCATTCCTCCTCCTTCTCAGTCAACAATATCGCTCAGACCAGCAACACCTCTCCGCTAGAATCATTTCTTAAAATGCACTTCTCCAAGCTCATTTTTACTCTCCTCGCGGCGGGCACAGCAGTTGCCCATCCTGGCCCACATGATATCCTTCCCCGTGCAGAGATTCAGCGGCGCAGTGACATGGCCAAGCGATGCGCCAGCCATGTTAGAAGCTTTAACCAGCGCCGCATGGCTAAGCGAGCAATGCAGAAGCGTTGGGAGAGATCCGGCCACAATACTACCTTCGAGATTGTCACCGAGGCTCCCTACTACGAGTCTATCCAGAACAACACTTGCGTGCTCACACCAGAGGTCACCCGCGGTCCCTATGTCTGGCCTCGCTCCCAGACCCTTCGTCAAGACATGGCCGAAGACCAGCCAGGTGTGCCCCTCTGGCTCGACATAGGAGTTCTGGACATGGCCACATGTGATCCGTTGCCCAACGCCCTCCTCGACTTGTGGCACTGCAACGCAACGGGCTCCTACTCCTCATTCACGGGCCTTTCCCCCAACACCCCTTTCGCAACACTCCTCTCTGAGTTGAATGTTACCGATTATGACATGGGTGTCACGGACCTGCACACGGATGATACCACCTGGCTGCGTGGTATGTGGCCGACAAACGAGGACGGCGTTATGGAGATGAAAACCATATTCCCAGGTAAGTCACATCTACTGTCACTATAACTACATGTACTTATTTATATGTGATGTAGGCTTCTACGTCGAGCGTGCCATCCACATCCACGCCCAAGTGCATACCGACTGGGCTGTTCGCGAAAACGGTACCATCATCGCCAGTAACACTGTCAGCACTGGCCAGCTGTACTTTGAGGAGGAGCTTGAACAAAAGATTATGAGTATGGAGCCTTATGCGTCTCATACGCAGATCAACCGGACCACGAACGCTGAAGACACGATATTCCCTGAGGATTCCGAGGGTGGATATAATCCGGTTGTGTCTGTTGTTCCCGTGGATGAGGACGATCTGTCCAAGGGGTTGATCGGATACATCACTATTGGGGTGGACACGACGGCGATCGAGACGTTCAGTAAATAGACCGATGTGAGCTTCGTGTATGTATCGACAGAATCAGCATAGATATTCTCAGATAGATATAGACGGGGCCTTTACCACTCCTGGGTCTCGAACTGATGGAAAGAAGATACAAGATAGAATCGAAGACACAACCTAGCTAGAAAGGCAGAAAAAGCCGAGAATGACACCGAGTCCTTAGAGAGACTTTCGCTGCTCAATCATACCATACCATACATACCATACCACCTAAAACCATCCCTCCTATAACCAAATTAGTACTCTAAACACAATCTTCACCCGAAAATCAAACCAAGCTTAGGCCGATCAACTCCTCACCCACCTCACCTGCATCCATTCCCTTTCCTACAGTACTAGGACTCGCTACCCTACCCAATCAGGGAAAGACATACACTGTCCAGGATGCATTCCAGTCCCAGGCGTTAGTTCCAATCCACCACCCCTCATTGGACAGGCAAAATTTCACGGCTGCACGGCTGCACGGCCGCACGTCTCCGCTAGCCAATTGATTAGCCCAACCTCAACATAGCCGCACTCGAAGCGCTGAAGCAGCTGAGTCGTTAGCTTGATACTTTAGTAGTAGGTCGGATGTCACCTCACAAGCACAGACATCTCGATGGCCCAGACAAATTGCGGCGGTGAGGAATCAAGAACCTCCCTTTTCCCTTTGAGTAATTCTATAAAAAAAACAATCTATAATCAGCTGGCCTCTCCGTAGCCTACCAACTCAATCTGGAAATTGCGCAGCCTCAAACCTCGTACAGAAGAAAATGATAATACCCTGGTTTCCTCGCCTACAACATCCCAGCAACCTCATATCGTACGATATCGATTGGCCCGGCGGCGAAGGGAACTTGGTTCCGGTCACACGAACCGAACTACTCGATAGACCCTGGAGTCCGTCGTGACCAGTATTCATTAATCTATTCGTCCTACAATGTCCGCACGAAGAAACTCTACCGGACTGACTGACTGGCAAGGCGCCACCAGCGTCTTGCTAAGCCTGGAGATAGTATAGACCTGCTCAAGTAGACAAGTCTGCCTTACTTGGTCCTTTTGCCATTACGTTAACTGACTATACGTTAACTGATTGGCCAAGTCCTACCCTGCACATGCATAAGCTTTTAGTACCAATGTACCCCCCAAGTTGCTGTACCAGCGTGCCGTGGCGGTTTAGAAAGCCATTCTCACATCACAGGACATAGCTGGTACTACCTTAGTCTTAGAGTGGGTATATGGTGTTTGATTCGTGGGGTTAGGTCTTCCTAATAAAGATATTCCTTTTTTTTACTATCATTGACGGTGTCAGGTAGTACTTTTTTGGTACTTTTTAAGGTTTCCGGCCCAACTGCTGACTTTCGTCCCGTCCACCAAATACTAGATTTGGACGGGCTACGCATTAGCCAGCCCCTTGCTGAAGGGGGTTTTGTTTGGGGTGTAAGCATTCATCGCGGACTTTGTCTTGGACTGTGGTAATACTTGCACGATTCCATCTATTTAACTACTATGATATTTGAGTGAAGATCTATTCATCAAGTAGTGTAGTGCTAGGCTTATCATAAAACTTCCATATTCTGGCAGCCTACTACTACACTGAAGAGGGATATCGGAAGGACTGTCTATCATCTCCCCATCATGCCTAAATTATACAGTTGAATGGGGCTGCTAGCACCTACCTGAGTTATTTGTCTCCGGCGGATGATCGCCCTCGTGCCAATTGTATGCTAAGTGGATACTACTGTAGCTTGTATATGGCTTAACGTGTGTCTCCGCTTTCGACCCAAGGGCCCGTCCAATCAATGGAAGAAGAGGGTCTGTGAGTCTGCAGGGTATCAGATCCTGTGAAAATCAGTGCCAAGAAGAAAGGTCGAAAATATGTCTTCCAATTTATTTTGACCCTCAAGAAGGTGGGTTCGGGTTTAGATGAGGTGGCAGTCCGGAGACCACGCGGGAAGAAGTGGAGGCCAATGCTGGCTGGAGTGATTGTGCCAACGATTAGTACTACCCAATCACTACTTACCCTGTTGTTTCTGAAACAGTCAGGAGTCGGTAATGGAGACAGACGACTGGTTGCCTACAGACGGTCGCTTAAGGCCACTACTCTTTGGTTGGTGTAGCTTGTGAGACATCTTCCGGGAGTCTATGCAGCTGCAGGGTTGACGGTCCTAACGTGTCTAGTATCTTTCTCAAGGCCGTGATCCCTGTGGGCGAGGAACGGAGGATACCGCGGGAGTTCCCCTAGTAATGCTTCTCAATCATCAGAGCTGGGCTGGGTCATTGTGACAAGGATGTTTATCTGTATTCCTGTTGGTCTAGACTAGAGCAGATTGCGATGCGGCTTGGGGTTGGTGGCACAAGAGCAAGGCGGGACCCAGGCCATCCTAGGCCCGGATCGAGCGGAATCCGACGAAGAGAAATTCAGGTCAGCTTTCGTGCTAGCTGGAATGGGGGACTTTGATGTTAGTGGCGCAGAGGTTGTCATTGTGGTTGGAAGTTGGCTTCAGCCTGCAGTTCAGAACACCATGGCCACTGGGCTAGACGGGAATCTCACTTCAGGCACAGAAGATTTCCATAATTGAGTATGCTCTATCTCCGGCCGGGATTCGGAGCTAACGGCTTTGCGGGATCAGCGTATGGAAGGTCTGGAGTGATCTAATTTTATGGGGTCTGGATGTAACCCTCAGGCCTCTTCTTGCATCGGGCTGCTTGTTGCAGTGTGGGAATTAGTACACAACAAAAGGAGTATGTGCAGCAGAATTAGTTATTCCTCTCTGCAATATCTCGCCAACTGAGACATATTTTTTCTTGATTAGTGAGTTCGTTATTAGGTTCAATATCTCAAGTTTCGGCAGTGATAGGCTAGATCGATGCTTACTTGACTGATCCCCATGTGAACGGCCTGACAAATTCCTTTTCTCTGAGTGGTCATGCAAACGGACCTTTGGAGTACTGCTTTATTTACCAATTTAAGAAGAAACAATAAATCCAGTAGTATGGTTGAATGCTCTATGGGAAAGGATAGTTCCAACGGTCGAGGGAACCACCTGACAAACGGACAAGTGGGGCGGACAAGTGGAGCCGATGGGCTGAATTAGTGGAGATCGAAGCAGACCCCCAGTTGTTTAGATATTGATGGATCTCTTTGACCAGGTACCTCTAACAATGCCATAGTTGGTATCCCCATCATGAGTGGTCAACTGTCAAATCTCCGAGGTAAATGGCAGGATCGCCACTTCCCCGCAGCATCATTGTTAGCCGATAAGCCTATCAATGCAACCCCGCTGTGTAGATAAGACGACTCTCACAAAAGAGGCCTGTCCCCGCCCATTCATCAAGCCTTCCAGTTTCTAGTAAACTTCACGTCCTGCTAGTGTAACATCAGCCAATCTGCCCAAAATGTATTCCAAAGTTGAAGAGCCGCCCAGACTGGTGCTCACCGGCACCCCAAGAGAGGTAGGTCCCAGCAAAACCCCCTGGACCTTTTCACCGCTTGAACCTGGTAACTCAGTCTCTCGTAATGCCTGCAGATCGGCCTCCATCATGGCTCCCGCCTTCGGCCGCAGATTAGCAGCCAAATTACCATCTATGAAGAGATGTTCCAGGTGAACTGTAATTTGTCCTGGGATGCAGTCAGGCGGCAAGCAGACCAATTCGCGATCACGATTCAACGCGCCACCCCCCACCTCTACCAAGAAATGGAGGGCATTGCAGAGGGTGCAGGGGTGGATGTGCTCGACATTGTGGCCCTGAACTGTCGGAGTGAATTAACTTTTGGCAAGTTCACAGATGGCTGCACCAGCCTTTCATGGAAGAGGAACGAGCACTGTCGTATCCTTGCCCAGAACTGGGACTTTACCACTACGGTACGGGAAAACATCGCGCTCATGAGGATTGATCAGCCTGGTAAACCAACCATTCACATGGTCACTGAGGTGAGTCACTTCTCGTGTAAATTCCATATGCACGTCGTCACTCTTCCGATTTAATATCCGTCATTAAATGTGCAGTAGGCTGGCATCGTGGGTAAAATCGGCTTCAACAGTGCCTGTGTTGGGACCTGTCTCAACGCTATCCGAGCCCATCCTTGTGTTCCATCCAAGATACCCATTCATGTTGCTCTGCGGCTCTGTCTGGAAAGCACTTCGGTCGATGAGGCAGTGCAGACGCTAAAGTCCCTCGGAGGTGTGGGATCCAGCCAGCACATCTTAATTGCTGATAGTAAAGGCTCGCTGGGATTGGAGCTGTCTCCCCTGGGTGATGTACATCTTCTGCCGGACGAATATGGTATGGTAGCACATACAAATCACTTTCTAGAGAATCGATTCGTCTACGAGCCACCATGGTTGACTGGCTCGCCGATACGATTGGCACGGGCCCGGGAACTGACCCGGGAGCTAATTAGGGATGAAGTGCTTGAAGAGGATGCCATTATTGGGCAAGTGCTCAGGGAAAGAGTATTCTCTGATACTTACAACGCCCCCCAGTCAATCTCCTGTCAGGAAGACGTGGCTAGGCCTCCAATCTCACGGTCGTCGACACTCTTTAATATTGTCATGCGTCTGGAACCGGAGACCCTGGGCGCAGAGGTGGTCATTGGACGACCGGGTTCCGGAGAGGAGAGTGACGTACTGAAGCTGCCCTTCCAGTGATTGAATTCAATTCCCAATCGGGCAGGGAAAGAGGACTGAATATGGAAGTGAACTCTGAGTGATGGTCCTGTATTTTCAAGGCCGCCATAGTTAATGTCTGTCAATACTATGGATTATCCCGATCTCTGGGAAATACCCACGGAATTTGCATTCGCAGAATCGGGAGAATCCTACACTGTTCAGTTAATTCAACACACATTCTCCTCTATATAAGATCACCCTTCTCCCGCTCAGGTTCATCTATCATTCCAATCATCTATATATATCGCTGTGTTTAACATTTATCCCAGACTGCAACCCTAGGTCACAGTTGGTCACATCCTGGACGGGGCCCCTTCGCCGGGGCCCGCGGTTCGACACCGAATCACTGCCCTTGAACATAATATCACGTCTTACTCGCCTGGACCGTGTTAATCTTGTTACACGCCGTGATGATGTCGTCAAGCTGATCACTGGGGTGATTCACTGTGTCTTGCAGTGAACGCAGAGATGATTGCAGTCTTCTTAGAGGTATATAAAGGCCCCCAAGAATCCAGGGGAAACGTGTTCTTGTTTATATCCCAAAACTTCTCACAGTTTGATATTGTCTATACTGTTCTTCTCTGAAGAGTTGCTTCCTGGAATGCTCTTTTGATGGCTTTCCTTTTGCTTTTCTGATCTTCTGTAAACAGTTGCCTCTTGAAAGCTCTCTTAATAGCTCTGCTGAATGCTTTCTTGAATGCTCTCGTGATCGCTTTCTTAGGCATTCCTTACTTTTCTGGTTGCGTTGCTGAAGGCTCCCATCAACGCTCTCTTTTCCTGATGCTCTCCTGAATTCTCCTTTGGAGGTTCTCTTGAATGCTCTCTTGACTGCCCTCTCGATTGCTCTCTCGATTACTTTGTCGACTCGATTGCCCCCGGGCTGCCCTCTCGATCGCTCTCTCGGCTACATTGTTGGTTGCTCGATCGACTTGTCTCTTCTTAAGTGGCATTTACGTATGCACCATCCAACCGTGCTCTCTCCGCTGCGTCCGAAGATGGACAAGGGTACTGAGACTGTAAGTCCTCCCTTGGCATATATACACTTTCATCTCCATTCGGTCCTGATCTAGTTCTTCCTTACCTTAGGAGCGACTGGAACACGCGTCTGTTCGTCTTGAAGTGGATACGGATACCGAGTCTGTAAGTCCTTCATCCGCACACACCCCCTTTCATGTTTCCCCAGTCCTAATCCATTTCTCCCTTGCCCTAGAAGCGATGGGCTCAAACACTTCTCCAGTCTGAAACGAGCAGCACCGCTGAGTCGGTAAGTCCTTCACGTCACATATTCCCTTTCATCACCCTCCAGTCCTGATCCCAGTTCTCATTTGCCTTAGAAGCAATCGGCTCAAACATCTCTTCGCGCGGTCACGACAGACCAGGGCTCGCTCGTACAGGTTGAAAGCAACGCGGGCAATGATAGGTCCAATGATGGCCTGGCTAATACTACTGCCTATACCAATGAAGAGCATATCACCAGCTCTCTCACTGAAGGTCTTCTGACCAGGGCACTGTTCGACTCTAGCGTCGAGGAAGAGTCACCTTCTGGGTCCTCGGCTAGTAGTGACTATGGAGCCGTGGCCAGTACTCATCGGGGCATTCCACCCTTCTTCGGCGAGAGGTCTGATTCGGATGTCTCCTCCTACAGTGACTACGAAGAGGATGACTCCAGCAGTGAGCCAAGAGACGAGTGGTCCGGCATCTATGACGAAAGTTACGATGCCGACGAAGAGGACTGGTCCCAATCCGGCGAAGGGGATTCTGAGGATTGGGACGACAATGAGCAAGACGAGCCGGAAGTCAACCCCAACCTCAATGAGCGATTTTTGAGAGTTGTCCGTTCTCCTCCAATGCGGCATCGTCGACCCCTCCCTGGCCAGGGTAAGCGTGGCTGTTAGGGAGTCTGCTCGTACCGGCCTTTGGTTGCTTTCCTTGGTCAGTTTGTTGGTGTATATACTTTGTTTGCTCTTGATGGAACCATCTCTGCTCTGCTTTGTTGGCGGTTGTTCTCTCTGATTGATCTTTCTTCTTTGTATCACTTGAGACTCTGACTCTCTTCTTCATCGGCACACTTCTGCTCCACCCTTCGCATCATGTCATTTCGTGCTAGATTCTTGGCAACTTCATACTCCCTGAATCTTGCAAGATACTCTTTTGTAGTATCGAGATGAAATTAGAGAGAGAAATATCACTGCTTCGACATAGAACAGTATGATGTTCCTTCCCGGGAACGTAGCGGTGAGGGGTGGCTCACTTAGAAAGCAGTACTTAGGGCCAGCCAACTAGTCGACTAACTACTAGTAAGTTACTACTTAAGCAAACTAACTCACTGTCTTATCAATCCATGGAAACGCCCCAAGCGTAAGCATTGCAATCTGATCCCTCCTCATTGGCACCGGTCGGGTTCCCCCACTTTTTGACTTGATGAACAATCCGAAACCCCGAATTCGTCATTCTCTCGTCCCCATTTAAGCCTTTAAGGACCCGCTGCGCATCTCCCGTTGCTGATCTTCTCTCCCTCATATATACTACTGTCTACTATATGCTATCCAAATAGTATCTGGTAGTATCAACACACCATGGCTTCCGCTACGGGCATTCCCCAAGAACATCCCGACACCATCCAAGAGCAGGAGGATGCGCCCCTGCTGCATACCCCGGGAAATGTTCCCCAGGAGAAAAACGCTGCTATCTATCAGAACCTCTTTACGGGTGAGTTGAATACTCCTCTTATGATAAAAAAATGTACTCCCCAGCTAATGCTCGTTACTCCATTAGGCACAGCCAGTGCAGCTCAAGTTGGCATCTGGATGGTAAGAAGATCCTTGTTACTGCTGGAGTTCTTGTATCGTACTGACTGTTTGCTTTCTCAGCTGGCCATCCTCGTCTGGACGGGAATCTTATCTCATCCCTTGATATTCTTTTCCGCTCATCCCGTAAGTCATCATCACCACTACTCTACTACGATTATCATCACCATTTTTATCGCAGTAAGTAATGCATAAACTAATTCCTCATTAGCTCCTCAACTCCGCTGCCCTCCTGCTTCAAGTCCAGGCCACTCTCATCCTTCAACCCACCACCACCCCTCACCAAAAGCGCCTCGGAACCATCATCCATTACATCATCCAAACCCTCAGTCTCCTCGGCTTCATCACAGCTTTCATCATCATCGAAATCAACAAGGGCGATCATGCTCGCTTTACCTCCCCGCACGGTATTCTCGGTCTCATCACCTACATCTTCATCATCCTGCAGGTCCTGGTAGGTGTCGTGCAATATTTCGTCCCCGTCCAGGTTCTCGGTAGTGTGGAGAAGGGTAAGAGCATCTACAAGTACCATCGCAAGTCAGGGTACGTGCTGCTGCTCTTGGAACTGGCGACTGTCTCGGCGGCGACTCAGACTACTTATAATCTGAACGTGTTGAGCATTCCGCTGTGGGGAGTACTGGTGGCCTCAGTGTTGGTTGTCTTGGGGTTGGGAGCGAGGATCAAGAAGCATAAGTTGGGGTTGTAAGGGGGCTGAATATTATGGCTCTCTGGGGGTCATGATGTTATGGACCATGATGCCGTAGAATGCTGTGCGAGACTGTCCTGGTACTACCGTGGAATACACTCCAAGTAACCAGTATATAGTGGAGACTTAGTATAGTACTCGTAGCGGTCAACAGGAGTAATGATAGTTCTGGACATGCACATTCAATGAAAAGCGCTTCAGCACACTTATAATTCTTCTAAAGCCACCTCCCTGCTTCCTCTCTGTAACTTCATATCATGCCAATGCGATTGTTCTCTCCTCAAACCAGTGACCCTGTGGAGCGACCGCCCGATCGGGAAAGGCGGCCGCGCGAGCATCGCGACATTCAATCTTCAATCCGTTTTCCCTCCATCTTCTCCCCCCAGTAATCCTCTCCTCACCAATGGCTCCACCAAGACCCCCCTACGTCTGCATCAATTGCAGGCTATTCGGCCGTCGTCCATTCTCCTCATCTACCCGACGAGCAGACCTCATCCGTCCGGCGACGGCCCCCAAACCCACCCCCGACATCAAACACATCCGCCAAAACCCCGAGCTCTACTCCAAGAACTGCGTCGACCGCAACTATCCCGCGCACGCCGAATACCCTCTCAAGATCCAGCAGCTGACCGACGAAGCCCGGCGTCTCGACCAAGATCTCAAGACCCCCCGAGCCCGCATCAAGGAACTAGAGAAAGCCATCGCCAAAGTCGCCAGCGCCGCCAACAACGACACCTCCACCGAACTTTCCTCCCTCCGCGCCGAAGCCACTCGTCTCAAAGATGACTCCAACAACATGTTCACCCGGAAAACCACCTGCACCGACGAAATCCACCGACTCGCCCTATCCCTCCCCAACCTCTCCTCCACCCACACCCCGATCGGCGCCGACCCAACCCTAATCAACTACATCAACTTCGATCCCGAATTACCCCCGGCATGGGTAACCCACCCCGACCCCAAACGCTCCCACGTCACCATCGGCACAAACCTAGGTCTCCTCGACTTCACCAGCTCCGCCATCACCACCGGCTGGGGCTGGTACTTCCTCACCAACGAGGGCGCCCTCCTCGAACAAGCCCTCGTCCAATACGCCCTCAGCGTCGCCCGCCGCCACGGCTGGAAAGCCGTCTCCCCACCCTCCCTCGTATACTCCTACATCGCCGAAGCCTGCGGCTTCCAGCCGCGCGACCAACACAACGAGCAACAGATCTGGTCCATCGAGCAAAACGAAAAGGACAAGTCCAAGCCCCAACGCTCCCTAGCCGGCACCGCCGAGATCCCTCTCGCGGCCATGCACGCCGGCCGCGACATCCCTGCTACACAACTTCCCCTCCGTCTCGTCGGCCCCAGCCGGTGCTACCGCGCTGAAGCCGGCTCCCGTGGCGTCGACACAAAGGGTCTGTACCGTGTGCATGAATTCACCAAGGTCGAGATGTTCGCTTGGACGGATAACCTCCCTGACTCTACCAAACCAACTACTACCTCGGATGACCTCTTCGCTGAGCTCCTCTCCATCCAGACGGAGATTCTCACCGCGCTGAACCTCCCCGCCCGTGTCCTCGAAATGCCTACCTCCGACTTGGGCGCTAGCGCTAGCCGCAAGCGCGACATCGAGGTCCTCTTCCCGTCGAGACTGCGTGCCGGGGATCTTGAGTCCGGATGGGGAGAGGTCACTTCCGCGTCTATCTGTACCGATTACCAGAGTCGTCGGTTGGGGACCCGTGTGCGTGGCGGAGCAGCGAAAGAGTCGCGGTTCCCGCATACGGTGAACGGAACGGCGATGGCGGTTCCTCGTGTGTTGGCGGCCATTCTGGAGAATGGGTGGGATGCTGAGAGGGGGGTGGTGGTTGTGCCGGAGGTGTTGAGGGGGTTTATGGGTGGGATGGAAGTTATTGGGGGGCAGTGAGTAGTTAGCATGTTGTGTTGTATATGTATAGATGGTGGGTGTGTATGTATGTATGTATGATAGGATGTTGAATGAATAGCTGTATTATATCTACTACCTACTACTACTACTATTCAACACTGGATAGGTTAAGGATGAAATCAGTAGTAGTCGAATTCGATGAAATAGATGGTAAACCCTGTAGTGTATATATCCGGTTACCGATCTATATTGGAAAACTTCATCACTAGCTAGTAGATAAATGTATGACATGGCGTGCGTAATCGTGCATGGAGAAACAGGCAGAACAAGAGAAGGGGGGAAGAAGAATCATAACATCGTGGACACATTCAGGTCGTATCGTTAGTGTAGTAATTCAGAACATATGACATGGCAAAACTTAAACGAGACGTGAAACGAAAAACATAAAAGACATAGACAAACATGGATATGCATAGACATCAACAATGACCATGCAATCGGGGAGAGGGGCGTAGATTATAGAAGCATCAAAAAACATAAACCATCAAGCATAAAACATAAGGTATCTGATCGAGAATTCGTAACTGAACTTGGTTCCGTAAACTTCCAGGGTATCGTTATTTGGCGTAAAATTGCGTAATGAGGGGATATATGTGTTGTCAATAGATAGATCTATGCTATCACTCCCAGGGGATATCTTCGTCGTCGACTTTAGTGCACGTTAAATACGGCAACCCTCCCTCTCCGTATTCGCTACCTTTCAGATCCAATTCGAGGAAATTGCGCATGAGCGGCTTGACTATCTCGCGGGCCAGCCGCTTGATTTCGTCCATTTTGCGCTCGAAACGTTTCAGGACTTCACGGGTGTATAGCGATTCGGAGGAAGGGGTTGGGTGCACTTTGAGGAATCGCTTCAGATCCTCGTGTGATAGGTAAGCTTGGCTGCTGGAGGAGCCGATGAGTCGGTAGACTCGTGCGGCGGACCACGGTGGTGCGGCGGTTGTGGTTGTCGTGGTGGTCTTGGAAGTCGAGTCCGTGGGGCGGTGGCTCGTCGATTGCGAACTGCGGATGCCATGGGTGCTGGTGCTGGCGTGTGCGTTCGCTGAGGAGTTTTTGAGGATCGGAGTCGGCGGGGGCGTCGTGCTGTCGACGAGCCATTGTCGGAAGAGCGAGACAGCCAGCCAATCTAAGTAGGCGTTGGTGGGACTGACACGCTCGCCGCGGGAGGTGGTCAGGGTGAGCCGCAGGAGCTTGGAGTCGATGCGCGCCTTCAGGTCTTCCAGGTCCTCGACCTTATCTTCGATGATGTCCAGGACGGAGTTGGGGAGCGGCGAATACGGTCCGTTGCGCAGATGGGGCAGGCCTGCCGGCCATTGTCCCACGACGTGGATGAGGGCCTCGGAGAAGATGACGCGGCTGCGCGCCAGGTAGCCCAGTTTCAGGTAGCTCGGGGGATACTTGGCGATCTGCTTGAAGAGGCGCGAGCCAAAGCCCAGTAGATGGTGGTCGACGCGAGGTCCGGTCACAGGTAGCGCATCGTACATGTCGGCTAGATTGAGCAGGGCCCGGCACTCGGCGTAGGCTGTTGCGATGTTGACACTGTTGAGCAGGGGCGGGTAGTTGTAGAACAGGCGGAACAGATTGTCGTAATCGCGAACGATGGGGTTGGTGGGTGGGTGTGCCGTCCCAGATCGATGGGGGAGATTGACCACCGACTGCATCCCGGCCAGATTGGCCATCGACCGGACAAAGCCCGTTTGAGAGCTGGACGGTTTGGTCACGGATGGCGGATACTGTCCCGAATCGCAACCAAATGCGCTGGAAAAGCTGGGAGGCTATAGAGATTCGACGATTAGCATTGCTAATGACAATTTCACAAGGCTTCAATCAACTAACCTTTTGTACCAGGATTGGCTCCTCATCCTCCTCCTTGTTTACCCAGTCCAGTTCATACCTCCAGCGTCTCTTTTCGACCGACCAAGCGGATCCTCCACTCTCCGATTGGGCCAGGGTTGACCCGTTTGATAGCGAAGAGGCATCCTCACTAATCCTCGACAGGACGCCCGTGTCCAGGTTTGGCGGCCTCGGCATGGATTGTCGCGACCACTCCTCGCGGGTACTGGCCTCGAAGAAGCCCGAGCATTGCGCCAATATCAATCGATGCAGGAGGTAGCGTCGCTCCTGGTCCCCTGCGCGTACCACAATCTCGACATCGCCCGTGTGCGTGAAAATAGGAAAGTCGTTTTGCTGTTGATGGGTAAGTCCACCATGATGGGAACGACTGGAACGATGTCGCCGGCTGGAATGAGAATGGCGCGACACGGAGGAGGCAGCGCTTTGCGGCGGGACGGAGCGATCGAGGACCTGAGCTTGAGACACCATTTCGATGGGAGTGACGGTAGTAGTGGGAAACTTGGTGGACATGGTCCGTCAGGAAGAGATGCGCGGTGACCAGACGCCAAAAGAGAGCTGCTGCAGAGAGCGGGCCGTCATTCAAAATCCAACAGCACGCGCCCCGGTCGGGAATTCGTCAACACGGCCAGCAAGGAATGTTTGGGACCCGCGACGCCCAGGACAGAGACAGATTTGCGCAGAGGAGTTTGGGAGTGGCGGCGGATTCCCGGTTGTTGATCCCCGCGGGCGATAACAAAGTGGGCCACCGAGAAAGAACTAGAGAACTAGAGAACTAGTAGCAGAAGTTGGAGGGAAAAGACAAGAACGAGAGAGAGAAGACCAAAAGGACCAGGCTAAGAGAATAATGATCCGAAGAATAGGAGTCGAGTCGACTGGACCGAATGCAATCAGAATGCAGCCAAGGCGAGGAAGATGCAGACTGAAGCCGACAGACCAGTTACAGCCGATAAATAAACATAGGGTCCAAAACCATGGCTTCGAGATGGATTTCCGTGGGAAAAAAGATGGTCTGTGTGCAGCGAGAGACTGGATGACAGCGGTTGATACCTCCGTCAAAGAAGGATAAATGATCCACCAAAGCGAAACCAAACCCTCCCCTTGGGCGTGATCCAAAACTGCTTTGACTCGGAGTGCCCTTTGACTCCTGGAAATTCTGCGACCGACCGAAAAGGAGAAGCGAAAGGACATCAAGACGGAAGTTCAATCGGGATTCGTTGAGTCCATTGACGGCCTCGCAGCTGCGTTGATGCCTCTTGATTGGCTTAGACTGGATAGTCGGATCCGTCTGTTCAGCTGCCTTTTGTCGGATGATCCCCGACTCCATTCTTTTCCTATTGCGTCCTCTTCTTCCTCTTTTCGGATTCCCAGAGAGAGATACCCACCAAAAGTATAAACTCCATTTCTTTCCTCATCTTCTCATCTTTATGATTGATTTCAATGTCCATCCCGCTGGCTGCCCCGTATTTTAAGGCATCCAAGGCATCCACCTTGTTCTGTCATGCTCTTGTATGACACTAAGCCTCTTCTGGCTAGCGGGGGTGTATAGTATGAGTCAGCAGCACTCCACCAATGGGGATGCTTGATTCCTCTTTTTGGCGGCCTTTGGATTCCTTTACGGCGCAGTTCCAGATCTTCTTTCAGCCCTCTTCCTCCTCCCCCTCCTCTTCTCGTCATCTATCTCTCTTACTTCATTTCTTTCTTCGGCCTTGAATCGGCTTGCCGTGCTCTTCATTCGGCTAACAGCATTCAGCACCCCCAAGTGGTGTGCTCTCAATGTGCTGGGTGAAGCTCTCCTCCCCCACACCCCATTCCGTGTCGTGACGAGTCCCAATGATGGCGAGTGTCCTGTGTAGACACTCGTCTCGAGCCGCCTGCATCGGATTGCGATTCTCCCATCCACCAGAGAAGTGACCCGTTCGTCTGCTCTTACACGGTCCGAAGTGATGTCGAAGGGCTGCTATACCTGTCGTCGCCGCCGCATCATCTGCGACAACGGCTTGCCAACCTGCCGCAAGTGCCGCGATGCGGGGAAGGAATGTCTGGGGTATCAGAAGCCCCTCGTCTGGGTCAAGGGAGGTGTGGCCAGTCGGGGAAAGATGATGGGTCGCAGCTTTAATGAGGTTATGCGCCCTTCAGATCTTAGGCGCGGTGACTCGAGCCCCTCTTCCTCCAGCAATGCGTCGCCGCCGTCAGCTGCCGATTCGCCTACCCAGTCTATCGACATCAGCTTATGCGTACCCCCCAACGTGTCGGGCATCCAGGGTATCCCAGAACCGATCCAGTCGGAGGATAATGATGATCAGGATACGCAAGTTGTCTTGCAAAGAGCTACTTCCGTCTCCGCACCTTGGGGCCTGGTGGATCCGCTGTTTAAGGACCTGAGTCAGCTGTCACGGTTCTACATTGTGCATTGTATGTTTGCCGGTTTATCTACCTGTGTGATCCCTGTCTAATCATCCCGAAGTCAACCAGAACCTTGCCAATTACCTCACCCTCTACTCCGAGACCGGTAACCCGTACCGTGACCTCATTCCCCTGGTCGGCGACTCTCCTCTTCTCGCCCACGTTCTCGCTGCCACCGGTGCCTTGCATTATGCCATCCTGGCAAGCGGGGACTTTTCCCTGACGCCATGGTTGTCGGAGGGTTCCCCAGCAGACCGCACCCTCCTGTCTCCCGAAGAGGTAGAAAAGTCCGTGATCACCTCGATGTCTCGGCGCCCGTCGTCCAAGGTATATGAACATTTTCTCGGACTCAAGCAGCGCGCCTTAGGGCAGTTATCGAACGATATCCGGGATCCCGTCTTACGCAATGATAACAGGACCCTTGCTGCGATCACAGTACTCGCTCTTATGGATGCCATTGAATCGGGAGATGGTGCCTGGAAGTTCCACCTCGAAGGGGCCAAAAAGCTTCTCAAAGGCCGCCAAGAACAGGGGGCCTCCAGTCCGCCTCAATACCTCGTCAAGTGGCTGGAAGATTTCGCTGTCGACGGCATTCTCCTGTAAGCCATATAACCTTCTCCTAGCCAAGCGACACACATACTGACACAGCTCCCAGCATCCAACTCATGGGCTCCACCCTCGCTCGCCCAGGGTCCCTGACCAAACCCTTCTATACCTCCAGCATGGGCCCCGCCATGCTCAAACGCCTCGAAGAAACCTCCTACGTCGGCTGTCCAGCCTATCTCCTCGAAGTCATCCTACTCATCCACGCCGGCCTCTACTTCGACCCGGACGTCGACCCCAACTCACAGCCCTCCATGATCTTCACCTCAGCCTTCCTCTCCCAAGACACCAACCCCCTCCAATCCCCCGGCGCTCTCCTCCAACACATCCAAGCCTTCGACCCCTCCGCCTGGGCCGAGTCCATGCAAAGCTGCTACTACCTCGCAGATCTCTCCATGCGAACCGCCCTAGCCACCGTCTTCAAAGGCGCCGTCTACCTCTACGCCAGCCGCGTTCTCTCCCGCCCGCGTCCCGGCGCCGCAACCATCCCCAACCACTTCGGACTCCCCTCCGACCACGCCGAAGTGGCAGACCTCATCATCCGCAAAATCGCTCTCATCCCTATCGAAGATCCCCATTTCAAATGCCTCATTTGGCCCACCTTCATTGCCGGCGCAGAATGCAGAGACCCCTCCCAGCGTCCCTTTGTACTCAATAAACTGCGCGCTCTGTACTTCAACATCACCAGCGTGAACGTCCGCAACGCAGCTTGGGTTTTGAGCCTGATGTGGCAGAAACAGGATCAGAAGAAGGCTGAGAAGGAACAACAGCAGCAACGGCCTACAACTACCACCGATAATTACCCCCATGACGATGTTAATGATGATGACGATGACTTTGATTGGATTCAGGAATTGGATAATTCCAGGATTGACTGGTTGTTTATATAACTGTTTCTCTGAAATATTATTGTTCTTCTCCTCTCTTCTTCACTGGGATGGAAGAGATACCTCTTTCGGGGAAGGGAAGATATCCTATATTTCACTTCTTGTATATAGATGATATAATACATAATTGTACAGTGCAACTTCTTTTTTTTGGACTTGGTATATCAGACGTTACTTGATAGTTTAATCAGTAGTACGAACAATGATTCTTCTATAGTAGAATATATTCTCGCACTGCACCAAAGCAGCGCCAAAAAAAAAAGAAAAGGAAAAGGAAAAGAAAGATAATTGACTACAAGCTGTCAAAGGGATTCATTCTCTCTCCGAGTTTACACTTTCATCTCTGCTTTTATTCCTGGACTACATTTAACATCAAATATGAATGATTTTCAGGAATGAACACTATGTAACAAGACCACGGGACTGTCTGTAGATTGTGCATTGAAGGGAGAAGAAAAGAGAACAAGAAATGAGATGGGAGGTATAATAAATAAAAATTATAAAATGAAGGAGAGGTTTGGTAGACAAGTAGATGGTAGGGAGAGAAGAGAATGGAATACTACTCAATCAAACACAGAAACATACAGCAAAATGGTAAGAGGTAACCGATCAAAATAACTCCGAAAACGCTCAGTATAGTAGAAAGAACACACACACACACACACACACAGGATCCCTAAGAGTGGTAGCATGACTGCAAGGTGGTGACAGTAGTGTAGAAAATTGAAGAGGTAAGTCCCCGCGCTTTTTGGAAATGAATAGATGACGATGATAAGAATGTACTGTTGGAGCGCGCTGTGTCCCAGACATGGCGATGATTGGTAGTAGAGTGGGTGTAGTTTCAACTGCCAGATCGGTTTATCGCAAATGCGCGGAATATATATATCGGAAGAGAGAAGAAAGAGTAGATTGAGGAGAAGTCGAGAATGGGGAAGAAAATAGAGAGAAAAGGACAAAGTAAATGAAAACAACCAGATGAGGGATATATGCATACTCCTGCCCATCTAAATGCAGCAAGTTCAACAGGGAATAAAAACACGCTCATCATTGCGAAGATGCAAGGCCAAAGCAACAAGCAAGCCACGTCACAAAGGAAAATTTCTTACAATAGATGCAAACGTACAAAGGAAACAAGCAAGTCGCCGGCTGAAGTTCATGACTGAATCCCGGTGATAAGAATAATAGCTTTAAGTATAATAGTCCAAAGCAAGCCCTGCCATTGGCAGGGATGATAGAAAAGTATCGCCAATCACACACGCAGGAAACTCTCAGGGATATCAAGCAAAAGACGGAGACGAGATATGTTCCAGGTACAATGAAGAGACTTTGTATGTATGCGACCCTGCGCAATGGTTTATAAGCTGGACTAGGGGAAGAGGAGAGTCCAGGGAAACGGGGGGTTGGGGGAAGGAAGAGGACAGGGAATTGAGGTGAGTTGGGCAGTAGAGGTATAAGCGGCGAGCACGAAAGGCTTAGAAGACTGCTGCCAGACCATTCTTGGAGTGACGGCGACTGAATCGCTTCTTGCCTTTGACGGACTCTGTGTCTGTGTTCTGGTGCTTGACCAATGTGGCTCGTCCCGCGGGAGCACTCTCGTTCTGAATCTCAGAGCTGCGGTCAAGAGTATTGGCATGGCTCGACAGTCCGGAGGACAGATCGCGGAAGGCGTCATCAGAATAAGAGCCGTTGCCCTGCTGAGACAGGGCCATTTCCCGCGCGCGGTCTAGGCTATCGAGCCACTCCTGGGCCGATACGGCGGTGGCGCCCATGTTGCTGGACGAGGGCTTCGGATCCTCAAAGACAAAGTGTTTGTCGCGCTATGTGTCAATGTTAGAAGCAATATACCAAACCTTGTGAAGAGAGTTCACATACCGTATCCACCACCCAGCACGAGAATCCCTTGGAATCTGTCGATGTTCGATATGACGTGCCTGGGGTCAGGAGGGAAAGCTCCAGTTTCGCCTTCTTCTCGTCCCCTCCAGATGCAGCCATGATGATGCGCCCAGATGAAGTAACCATCACCAAGCGCTGCCGCTTCTTGGTGGTGCTGCCGCCAAAGAAGCGGGAGAATTTCCGGGGTGCTTCGTACTCGCCCCCATGTTTCGAGACGGGACTGTGGGCTGCTGGGGATGATAGAACCACCAGGTTACCGAGTTTCAAAATTCGCTCGTTGGTTTTGGTCAAGACTGGAGACCACTCGATATCCAGTTGACTGGGAGGTGGTAGTTCGGTTACCAGTCGGGGCACCACACGCGAACTGACATTAGTGCTCGAGGCAGCCGGGTTAGCGCTGGAGACATAGCCTTCACCACCACCGCCGTTCAGCTTGATCGGCTCACGCGGCGGTGGAACATACGCCTTCAGACGAGGCGCCTTGCGCTTCCATAAATCCGGGCCCCATGTGATTCCCTGGAAGAACTCATGGTTCTTGATATGTTCGATGGGCAAACGACGGGCTGGATCCAAAACAAGAAGGCGTTCAACGAGATCGCGGGCGACGGCAGGGAAGCCGGCAGGGAAGTCGTAATCGAGCGCAACGATCTTCTGAAATGTCTGATATTCGTTCCCGGCTTTGAAGGGAGGCCGACCCGCTAGAAGCTGGAAAATGATGCAGCCAAAGGCCCAGAGATCGCTGGCCTTGCAGGCATTCTTATCTGTCAGAAGTTCCGGGCTTACATATTCTGCTGTGCCCACGAACGAGCTGGCTCGTTCGTCCTCCGGGATTTCGGTAGAGTCTAGCGGGGGCATCCCGCTGGAGTTCTGAGGTTTCCGTTGACTCTTGAGGATCTTGGCTGTTCCGAAATCGGTGATTTTGATGTGCATCTGACTGTCGAGGAGAACGTTTTCCGGCTTGAGATCCCGGTGAATCACACCGCGTTTATGCATGTAGTCTATTGTGTCTAGAATCTGAGCACCATAGAACCGTGTACACTCCTCGTCGAAGGTGGTCATGCGCTTCAACACGCCCAGCAACTCGCCTCCTTTGCAGAGATCCAGCACAAAATATAACGAGCGCTCATCCTGAAACGTGTAATATAGTCGGACAATGCCCGGGTGTTCGGTAAGCCGGTTGAGGGTGTCCTTCTCGATGTTCACATATTTCACCTTCTTCTCCTTGATGATGTGTCGCTTATCCAGGATCTTGATGGCATATTCCTTCAAAGTTTGCCGGTCGGTTCCCAGGACGACGGTACTGTAAGAGCCCTCGCCCAGCGTGTGAGCAAAAGAAAAGTCCCGGACGCCCTTCTTAATGTAACGCGCAACCGGCTTGCCGTTGGCGTCAATCTCCTGCCTCACGGCGACCGCTGCACCACGATCCTGCCAGTCCTCGCTGCTCGCACCGGGGCCATTCTCCATAGCATACGGAGAGCCTCCCATCTGTGGCGTCGCTCCACCCCGCGCGTGAGCCCTGGAAGTTTGACGCATGATCATGGGACCGTTGGTTGGCGGCAACTGGGCGGTTCGATATGAGCGATCATTGTGGTTATTGTCGCGGACGGGAACACCGGCCTGAAAAGCCGCGGAACCACCGCGAGATTCCGCACGTGCTTGACTTTCGGAGGCGGAGGAGGCCGCGGAATCGGTACGAATACGATAGGAACCCTCCCGAGCAGCTGCCAGTGTTGATGTGGATCCGTTCGCGTAGAAGGCGGACATAGGCCGGGAGGACTGCGGAGCAGGGTGTGATTGTGAGGACGACGCGTAAGGAGTGTATTGAGGACTCGTCTGCTGCGGGAGGTCAGAGTAGGGATTGTAGAAGGAGCTCCGGTTGTCTCGCGGCTTGATTGCGGGCTCGACTGAGGGGGAGGTGAGGGTGTCTTGCAGATCTGTCGTGGAGGCAGGAGCAGACGGTCGGGGAGGAGTTGTCGATAGAGAACTGGCCGGTCGTTCGGAGACGATGGTAGGTTCGCGCACCAGCTCGGGTTCCGTTACATCTGCAGCACTGGCAGCGGGCGTTGTTGCAGCATCTTCGGACGAATGTAAGGAAGAATCATCGGGGTTTGCGATGCGGAGCCCCCCTAACGATTGGGATAGGCTGAGATCCCCATCCATGATGGAGGTAGCGATGGGTTTGGTGATACACCAAACCTAATTCTTGGGGGAGAGCAGGATGAGGGTGGAGGAGGGAGGAAAAGTTGGGTTTCAAAGGGGGGGGGGATGTGGGAGGAGGAGGAGGGGGGGAAGTGCGGGCGGAAGTTGAGGGAGAATGATGATTTGGGGGGAAGAACAAGAAGGAGGCAGAAAGACGGAGAGAGATTAAGATGGCGGGATAGTGACCTGGCAAGGCACCAGCGTGGCACCAAGCAGAAGGTCGAGAAGGGGGAGGAGAAAAAGAGAAAGGAGAGAGGAAGAGAAGAACGAACGAACGTAAAAAAAGAAACGAGCGGGGGAAGGAAGAAAAAGAAGAGGAGAGGGAAGCTGGGAAGGGAAAAGGAGCTTCCCCGATGGGATGAGATGGGATGGAGTCGAGAGAGAGCGAGGAAGAGAGAGAGAGAGTTAGAGTTAGTTGGTTGGTTGGTTAGAGAGGGGAGAGCCGGACGGGGGGGGACTATGGCGGCGGTCGGAGGAGTAGCGGATGATGCATTGGGGATGTGAAACAACTCTGGCCGGAACCCCAAACACAATGGATTATGGGACACTCAGGATGTAAATAGAACTGACAGAGGTGAACTGGAATAATAGGAAAAATAGCAGGGGGTAGAAGGGGAAAGGGAGAGAGAGAGAGAGAAAGAGAGAGAGTCAAAAATGGGAGAAGAATAATATGATTGATGAGGGAAAGGGGATAAAGGGGATCGATGTAGTAAGTAGTAAGTAGCAGTAGTAGCAGTAGTAGTAGTTTACTTGGTAGTAATAGTAATAGTCAAGTGGTGGTGGTAGTAGTAGAGAGTTACATACGGGAATTTCTGCCTACAATTAAACAACAATCATCATCATCATTATCTTATTCTAATCCTGCAATTTATTTTTAAACCTGCCATGGCCTTGTCTCTCTCTTACTCTACAAAAATAAGAATCGTGTCATACGAATAATTAAGAATAAAAATAATAATAATCAGCATCCCAATGGGCATTTTGAATAATGCAGCCTGGCCGATGGATCCTGCCTTTCTCTCTCTCTTTCTCTGCACAGCTCAATCGGATGCCCTGGAGATGTAGATCTCTTAGGCCCTGTAAGCCCCATTCTCCATCTGTGTCTCTTACTCACATTCCGACTAAACCATTTACCATCACTACTTTATCTTCTACAAAATCTACTTGGAATATTTATATCCGTCTGTTTCACTTTCGAGATCGTGACTCTGCTCAGCCTCTTTGATGTTGCTATCCACTGATCCGTTCGAGACCGAGAGACAGTACCGTGGTTCGCTACCATCTCCTGCTCCATCTTCTATACTACTACACCGTCTCTTTCGCAGTCCCCATCTTGATGCCTATTATAGAACAGATTCAACTATTAATAATATCACTCTCCTCCACCACCACCACCACCTACTGATGCTAGTCCATTCTACCATCATTCTGGAAACACGACTCACCTACGATAATATATATAGAAAAACCATTTCAGCTGGCTTGATAGAAGTCGTATCTCTCCATCGCACTTGCCATCCGGATGCTCTTTCCTGATGCGCCTTGTAACCTCGTAGTCTAGCCAGATGATTCCCCCGTCCCCATCACGAATAGCTGCACACTTCTGCCCACCTCTGCACACTTTATAAAAGAGAAAGATAAATAAACTTACAGAGGCACATAGTTGTTCCTGTCGCTCTAATCACGGTTATTTTTCTGTGTTCATTTCACATCTACTATCGTCCTAAGATATCCTACATCACTACCATGATTCGATACAAGCCTACACATATTGCTCTGGGCGATGAGGATCTCCGCTACCATCTGGAAAGGCTGCTTATTCGCCATTCTCGCATGGCCGAGTGGCATCGGCAAGACCTCGACCGTGACAGCTATAGTGATGATAGTGTAGCCTTCTTGGGTTCTGATTTCTTTTCGCCCTACAACCTCTCTCCGGGCGGTTCCGTCTGCAGCTCGGGCCCCGACTCTCCTAGTCAAGGTTCCTGGCAGTCGAATCAAGACTGTGAAGTTGGCCATTCAGCAATATCCTCCTTGTTCAATGAACCAGATGACTCCTTGTCTGTGGTGGTGCAAGATGAGACGCGGACCATGAGCACCTGCTCATCAGGTCTCTGTGGGCCCCTGTCCGAAAAGTCCTCTCGAACAGGTGAAGAGCACCATGTGACAGAGACTACGCATCAGCTCTCATTGAAGACTATTGACAGCAGTCAACTCCCCGGTCAATCACCGGGAAAGCGGGGCCGTGAAAGGCTGCATCCTCATTCACTGACCTGCCAGCCTCTCACTATAGCAACCGTACCATCCATCAATATCCCCGCTGGTGTTTTCTCGAAGAATGGTGGAAGGTGCTCGATTGTACCACATCGTCACTCAATTTCTCACCCGCTTCTCCTTGGCACCAGGAAATTGAATCGAGAAACTCTTTCCTGCAGCACTCAGTTGGCGGGTGGCTCGCTGAATTTCATAGACACCTCGAATGAAGTAGGTGAGCTTCAAATACCATTCTCGGGCCTCACAGCTACCAAGTGTTAACTTGGCTATTTTTCAGAGAACCTGAGACAGACGTGGTCGAGATTTAAAGTGCAAGATTCGGATCTCCGTCCGAGCCTTGATCTCGAGATCCGCTCAGGATCCACATGTGTTAATCTAGCTGCGCAACAAACACAATTAGTTGATTTTCTTACACGGCCCTCTTCCAGACCAAAGGCGGCGCTGGAGGTGATCAAGATGCCCGGTGCAGATATTTTGACCAGGAAGACACGCGGCCAGCGGGCCAACCTCTCGTTGCCGGGGTCTGCTGCCGTCCATCACAATGGCCCTGGTGAAAGATCGGGTGCAGAGATTACAAAAGCTCCAGTAGCACTTCCCACTAGATTGCAGAACAGTGCGAGGCCAAGGTCCACCGGGGCACATCGGTCCAACCCCATTCGAAGAGTAGGCCCAGCATACCTGAGAGTGGATAAGATAGACTCAGCTAACGAAGAGCAAGGCTCCTAGGAATATAGTCTCGCATGGTACGCAGACTGAGACTGAGCAGGCGTCATTATTACCTGAGCAAGGCCATGGGGAAACGGTAACACATCAGGCTGTGAATTCCTCGCTAGCTGCTCCAGCAGAGGTAGGTGCCGATCTTTCGAGGGTTAGATAGGCAGTTGAAGGTCTGATGCCCTTCCGTCATCCACAGGGAGTCCAAAACCATGGTCATGAACACAATCCTCCGCAAGAACACATGGTGCGGGAGGCGCCCGCCATTTCAGGGCTACTTCGAGATATGCGTTTTCAGAAGAGTCAGAACGCCAATAGAATCAATTTAATTGCTTCTATGCCATCGGCAAATCCACCGGTACCCGGTGGTAGAGGAAGCATGGCAGCTCCACATGACCACCGCTCCGAACCATGCATGGATGTACGTATGCTCTCACGTAGCCCTGTTGCGCTGGCCATCGTTAACACCTAGACAGACCCGAGCTTCGGTCAACCCGTACCTGAAGGAGGCCATGGACTTCGATAGCTACGTCACCTTCATGACGGATGAGTTATACGAGAAAGTTGAGGTTGATGTCAAGGACTATGGCCCAACAATTCTAGGTTTAACCCAGCAATTAAGCTCGCAGGGTAATTGTTGATGATGGCGTGTTGTGTGGAGAGGGAACGGTTGGGATGACAGCAGGGTGGATAGAAGCATGTCATCCGCGGTGGGGAGACAGCTGAAAAACAAAAAGTACCGACGACTGTTGATATCACGCCTAGTCAAGGACAGACAGAGAGGGTCATGGGAACTGCTGTGAGGGGATGGGATTGATTGAGTGATGATACGTCGACCTCCTTGCTGCACCGGAGAATTTGGCCCGTACCGGGGAAAAGTGAGCTTCTAATGCTAAAATTGACTTGCTTGGGATTCCATCCCTATGAGGTGTCATATGGTCGGAGGTGTATTCAAGATTCTCATACGCCATGCAGGGCTCAGCCATTTTGCCTCAACCTGTTGCGTGGATGGGACGTAAAGCATGGGGGGCGGAGTTGATGTCCGGACCCAATGAAGGGTGAGATCTCGTGAGGCTATTCGTCATCCATCCCAATGAGCCCAGTCGACACGCAAGCTGCAGAAAATTCAGCAATGATGGTGTAGTGTAAAAGAGTGACGGTGTAGACTGGGGAGCTCGGATAAGAAAGCAAAACCGACCGACAATAAGGCTGAAGCGGATGGATTCCAAAGCTGCCAACTTGCGTTATGTAACCACGTATATGTAGGTATCCCTCTTCCCTGAAAGATACTATCATTACTGCAAATAAGAAACCTAGACCCGATCATCATTATTACCCCAGTATCACCTCAATACTAGCATAATCACAGATAAGTAAATTACCAGAATACTACAGAGTATCTACTATCCATGAAACAAACCACCCTCATCGCCATCATACCCCATTCAATCGTCATCGCCCATCCAGGAGGGGCAGAATAATAGAATAAGAAAGATAGTTCTGACCACCTGTCCTACCTAGGCTAGACTACTACTAATAATCAAAATCAAAATCTATTTTTACATTGGGAATTAATTTTCCTCTGCCTGTTGAATAGTGGATACATTATTTTTCTGCACGACTCTCCCAATTTCGTCTTTTTCCTTTCTTGGGTTTAGTTCTACTTACGCGTCCTGCCCCAGTGCGCTATACCGCTTTAGGTGTTTGGGGTGGGTGGGCTGGTTTCCCCTTCTTGGCATGGTGAGAAGTGGTGGTGGTGGTGGTGGCGGGTAATGGATGTTCCGGGGGGAGAATACATACGTAGTAGTATTATCATGGTAAACTACTACCTCTTATTCATGCGTGTTAGTCTCTAGTATTGGAGGTGAATGCTAAGTTAAGAACTGTAGTAGTTACTATGTAAGTAATATTCACATGATGGTCCCCGGTTGGGGGCATATGTATATGTGAATGTATGTAGATTGCCTGCAGCACAA